CCAAGTAAAATAAAATTCTTGTCAACTTCAATCTTTTCTCCGTTTTATCATGATGTTGTTTATTGATCCAGTTGTGAGGATTTCTGTTTTCTTTATGTTGAGGTGTGATCCATACAGAAGGTTATAGTCTTTGATCTTCATCAGTAAGTATTTTAAGTTCTCTTCATTTCCAGAAAGTAAGGTTGTATCATCTGCATGTTGAAGGTTGTTAATAAATCTTCTTCTAATACTGATGTCATGTTCTTCTTCATATATTCCAGTTTCTCGGATTATTTGCTCAGCATACAGAGTGAATAACTATGGGGGAAGGATACAACCCTGACACAGTATCCACATGTTCTATTTGAATGACTGCCTTCTGTTATGTGTACAGGTTCTACATGAGCACAAAGAACCGTTCTGGAATTCCCATTCTTCCCAATGTTATCCACTGTTTGTTATCATCCACACAGTTGAATGCCTTTGTGTAGTTAACAACACACAAGTAAACATCCTTCTGGTATTCTCGGCTTTCAGTTAAGATCTATCTGATGTCAGCAGGGACCTCTTCTGAATCCAGCATGAATGTCTGGCAGCTCTTTGTTGATGCGCAAACAGTTTTTAATTCTCAGCAAAATTTTACTTGCATGAATTAATGATATTGTTCGATAATTTCTGCATTCTATTGGGTCACATTTCTTTAGAATGGACACAAATATGGATCTTTTCCAGTGGAAGTAGCTAATTTAACTTGTTAATGCCTAGGATATCATTCTTTATACAGTTCATTTCATCTTTGACAACTTCCATTGTTCCTGGATTCATACTTCATATATTCCATGTTGCAATTACTAATGGATATTTGCAACTATTTTTTCTCATTTTGAGTTGTGTCACATCAGCAAATAAAGGTCCAAAAAGCTTTACTCCATCCATGTCATTAAATTTGACTTTACTTTGAGAAGGCAACTTTTCCCCAGCTATATTGTGAATGTCTTCTAACCTGAAGGGTTTATGTTTCTGTACTATATCAGATAATGTTCCACTCCTGATGTGGCGCTGTGGGTTAATGTGCCAGACTGCAAAGCCGTTTGAACTATGAGGTCAGTGGTTCAGGCTCACCAGTCGCTCCTTGGGAACCCTACACAGGGTCACTATGGGTTGGAACCGACTCGACGGCACTTAACAACAACAACTATCCATAGGGTTTTCACTGGCCAAAATTTGCTGAAATCGATCGCTAGGTCTGTTGGCTAAGCAATGAATTTTTTTCTCTTAACCCTAAATCACTAGGATAGAAAGGGAATTATTATCTCTGAGCCTCAATTTCTAATTTAGAAAAAATGTTTTAAAACTATACTAGACTAAAATTTCCTTAAGGACCACACCAAGCCTACTGCCATAGAATCTACTGACTCACAGTGACCTTATAGGATAGAGTAGAACCGCTATATAGGGTTTCCAAGGTCGTAAATCTCTATTTACATCAACAGGGAACTGCCAACATTTCAAGCTGGATTCAGAGGAGGAGGTGGAAGAAGGATATCATTACTAATATCAGATGGATCTTGGTTGAAAGCTGAGAATACCAGATAGATGTTTACATGTGCTTTGCTGACTATGCAAACGCTTGTTTGGATTATGACAAACTATGGATAGCATTGTGAAAAATAGGTATTCCAGAACATTTCATTGTACTCATGAGAAACCTGTACATAGATCAAGAGGCAGGGGTTAGAACAGAACAAGGAGGTACTGAAAGCTTTAAAATCAGGAAGGATGTGCACCAGAGTTGTATCCTTCCACCATATTTATTCAATCTGTATGCTGAGTAAATCATTTGGGAACCTGAGTTATATGAGAAAGAATGTAGCATCAGGATTAGAGGAATACTCATTAACAACCTGTGATATGCAAATGATACAACCTTCGATATGCAGATGATACAACCTTACATGCTGGAAGCGAAGAAGACTTAAAAAACTTATTGATGAAGATCAAAGATTACAGCCTTCGGTATGGATTACACCACAATGGAAAGAAAACAAAAATCTTCACAATCCACAACCAGACCAATAAATAACATCACAATAAATAAAGAAAAACTGAAGTTGTTAAAGACTTCATTTTGCTTGGATCCACAATCAACACTCATGAAAGCAATAGTCAATAAATCAAAAGATATATTGCATTAGGCAAATCTGCTGCAAAAGACCTCTTTAAAGTGTTAAAGAGCAAAGATGTCAATTCAAGAAGTAAGGTGTGCCTGACCAAAGCCATGGTATTTTTAATTACCTCATATGTGTGTGGAAACGGAACAATGAATAAAGAAGACCACAGAAGGATCGAAGCATTTGAATTATTATGTTGGGGAAGAATATTGAAAGTACCAGGGACTGCCAAAAGAACAAACAAATCTGTCTTGTAGGATGTGCAGCCAGAATGCTTCTTAGAAGAATGCTGAGACTTCTCTCTTGTACTTTGAACATGTTGTAAGGGACCAGTCCCTGAAGAAGGATATCAAAGTGGAGGGTCAGTTAAAAAAAAAAAAAAGAGGAAGACTCTCAACAAGATGGATTGACACAGTGTCCTCAAACTTAACAATTGTGAGGATGGCACAGTATTGGGCAGTGTTTCCTTCTGTTGTGTATACGATCCCTTGGAACTGACTCCAAGGCATCTAACAACAAATCTTTAGGAAAGCAGACTATCACATCTTTTTCCCATGGAGCCGCTAGTGGATTCCAACTGCTGACATTTTGGTTAGCAGTCCAATGCATACTCCACTGCGCTACCAGGGTTATTTCCTTAAGGACAAGATCCTGTATTTTTATCCATTTTTGTATCCTGCCCCTCCTCTCCTGCCGCATGTTGCTGTTACAAATCCTCCAGTATGGTTCAGGCTGTAAATCTTTATGGGAGCAGAAAGCCTCGTCTTTCTCCAGCAGAGCAGTTGCTGGGCTTAAACTGAAGACCTTGTGGTTAGCAGTCCATTGCTTATCCTACGGAGCCACCAGGGAGCGCTTCAATATTATGTTGTTGTCCAAGTCATAGCAAACCTGATGAAACACTGCCCTGTTGGATGAATAAATGAGGTTGTGGAGTCCTACAACGTTGGTGTTAAGTGCTGTCAAGTTGGTTCTGACTCAAAACGACCCTGTAGAGGGTTTCCGAGGCTTTACGGTCCTTGTGGATCTTTGTGGGAACAGAAATCCTCATCTTTCTCCTGCGGAGCAGCTGGTGGTCTGGAACCACCAACCTTGTGGTGCTTACCAAGCAGAGTCCTGCATGTTGTTGTTAAGTGCCGTGGAGTCAGTTCTGACTCATAGAGACCCTGGATAAGGTTTCCGAGGAGCACCTGGTGGGTTTGAACCGCCGACCCTATGGTTCGCAGTTCAATGCTTATCCTATAAGGCCACACCAACCACACCAAGAGTCCATCAAGTTGGTTCCGACCTATTTTGTTGTTAAGTGCCGTGGAGTTGGTTCCGACTCATAGCGACAGGGTTTCGGAGGAGCGGCAGGCAAGCTTGAACCACGGATCTCACGGGTCAAATAACTTTACAGTCCAGCGCATTAACCCGCAGCGCCATACCAAGAGTCCAGAGTCCTTCATTGTTGTTAAGTGCCCTCGAGTTGCTTCGACCATAGCGACCCTGTACAGGGTTTACAAGGAGCGGCTGGCGAGCTTGAACTACCGATCTTGTGGTTTAAACGACTTTGCAGTCTAGCACATTAACCCACAGTGCCACACCAGGACTCCAGAGTTCTGCATAGACTGGTTATTAAATCGATTTCTCTTTCTGCGCATTCCTTTTCTTCCTCCCCATTTTCTAATCCTTCCTTCTTCCCTCCCCAGGCATCTCCCTTTAACTCTCCTCTTCCAGCCCACCGCCCCTTATCGGCCACGCCCCGCCACTACGTCGCGAAGGCGGAGGGAATGAAGCGGGCTTTACGACAGCTGCGTTGCGGCGGGGCGGGGCGCCGGGAGGCCGGTGCGCTTGGCGGCAGCGGTGGGAGGCAGGCCGGCAGATAGGCAGACGGACTCAGGCGGGTGGCGGCGGCGGTGCTTGCTAGTGAGGGCGGGAGGGAGTGAGTCACTGAGCGTGTGTGAGGGAGGGAAGCAGCCAGCGAGCGGACAAGCTAGCAGCCCGCGCAGTCCGTCCGCAGCACCAGCCAGGCCCCGCCGCCACCGCCCCTTCGCCCCGGGCCGAGCCGAGCTGGGTCGGGCCCGGGCCATGCTGCTCACGGTGTACTGTGTGCGGAGGGACCTCTCCGAGGTGACCTTTTCCCTCCAGGTCGACGCCGACTTCGAGCTGCACAACTTCCGCGCGCTGTGCGAGCTCGAATCCGGCATCCCGGCAGCCGAGAGCCAGGTACGCCGGGCAGCGAGCGGGCCTCCCTCCGGAGCTTTCCCCACCGAGGGGCCTCACGTCCGCCCTTTGCTGCTGATGGAGAACGGGGGAGTGGGAGGTGCAGGGATGGCCCTTCCCTGCCCACCCCCGCATCCGGGTGGGAGCCGGACTCGGTAGCTGCCGCACGTCTCCAGTCTGGGGTACGGTGTGAGGGGAGGGAGCGGAGAAACCGGCCGCAGACGCACCCACTGCGGTGTGAGGGACGCATGGGCTGTTGGGGAGGGCCTCCTCACCTTCTGGTTGTTGCTCCTCCCCGAGTTTGGGGTGTCGTCGTGGACCTGAGAAGCAACCCTGGGTTTGCAGGGGTTCATACACCCTGCTTCCTCAACCAGAAATACCAGTTTGGGTTACTGTGGTAGATGCATGTTCCTTTGCTTCGCTATCTTGGATAGGGTTCCTGCCCAAATATATGGAATTTCTTTGCAAATGCACAGATTTTGTGCTTTAGGCGAGGGGAAAGTTTGAAATATCTACTACCTGCTTTTGAGGTCTTTGGAAATTCTCTTTTCCCTACCACATGTGTTTCTGGTTCGATTCTTTTTCTTTTTTTTTTAATGTACTGGTTCAATTGACCAAAATTCCTCGTTCAGATCACAATTCAGAGTTTGAATTTTAAAGCGATTTACTTTAAAAGCATCTAGTATTTTCATTTTAGTATGATGTGCTTTAATTTGCTCTAGTATTTTCTCTTTAGTATGGTTCGTGGGTTTGTTTCATTTCCCTACCCTGCTGGAAAGTACTTCACCGCCTCATAACATTATAAGTAATTTGTTTTCAAAATAATTCAGGCTTAGTGACAACTTTGTGGCCTTCACACAAAAACACTCCTTAAATCCTGATTTGGTAACTGTGCCTTGGAAGACAGTCTAAATATTTTAGACAATTAACAAAGTCCTTCAAGGCCCCAGAATATAAATCTTGATTTCCGACGGCAATTATGAAATAGTTCCAAAAACCATTGCCCCACTCCAGCATGTTCTGCCTTGTGTTACCGTAAACAGATGTGTCAGTATTTTGTTCAGAAGTGAGTATGATTCCTTGACACTATGCGAACTTTAGAACCTTGGCAAAACGCTGACTACCAAGAAAGAACTTGTTTCAGGGTGCAAAGTGTCATTGAACTACAGTCTGGCAAATGCTACAAAGAAATGGGTAAAAAGGAATTTTTTTGCAACTTCTGTAAAAAGTAAACGCACAAAAACTCATAAACCAGTTTCTGTTGCAGAATCCCTCATGTGGAGAACTTGGAAAGGGCAGTTTAAGTAGGGAGAGAAAATCAACCCTTAAATATTTGAAGGTGGCATTTTCAATTGTTTTCTTCCCATTACCTGTTACATTCACAGGGGGAGAAAAATGAGGCTTTCTGCTCTGGCAGAGGTTTACAGCCTCGGAAAACCTTACATAGGGTTGCTAAGAATCAACCCTGATGGCACACAGCCACAAACTGTGACATTACCCTTGTTTATAATTATCAACTGGTAGGGGAAATAAATTAAAATGTAAATTGATCTTGTTGTTCTTAGGGCTTGGGAAAGGTGGAAAACTGAGATTGTTTCCATTCCTGTACTTTTTTGAGATGGTTGTAAAAAGCATTTGCTTTAAGTAAAGTAAAAGGGTTATCAGATTGACCGACAGATAATTGTATGGTCCAGGCCGGCACTGTAGCGGGGCAATTCTGAGGTTAGGAATACCTTACTAATTGAACAATTTGACCAACTCCAGATACTTTCTTGTTATTATGTCAATGTCTTGGTATTTACTTCCTTCGTAAGCCATATTAGCTTATAGAAACCTGGGTTTCCTCTAGTGTGAAGCCAGTATCGCATACCTATAAACAGCTCTTGTTTTTCAAGTTTGCTCTGCTGGCTCCATTGTAACCTGACAACACAGTATCTATTTTAAGATGTCTGGTGGTCGGTTGTCTTTCACTTGCTTGCCCATCAGGCAGGAACAGGATCCACCCTAGACACTTGAGTCATTTCCTTTCATCAAATCACAATAGTAAACATCATTATAGTTTTTCCCACAAATACCTCATCTTTACCTACTGGAGTCCCTCCCTTTGCTGCTCTTACCTCCCAGGGTTCTCCAACATTACTCATCTTTCCTTCCTCCCACTCACGGGTCTGTCTCCTGGTCTCTGTGCTTCACTTCTCTTATTGACCTTCTCAATTCCCATTCCTTTGCCTGCTATTTCTGGATCCGTTTCTTTAAGGGAATATAACTTTGTACTCTTAGCTGTTCTTTACTGACAACCTGTGTTCAGACCACTGCACTGGTCTGCAAACTTTTTGAGTCACTTATCCCTTAGTAAAATGTTTCTAAATATGGATTTTGAATCACCAGGTTGGTGGTTAGAGTCTACCTGCTACTCCATGGGGTAAATGTGAGGCTTTCTGCCTCTGTACAGATTTACAGCCTCAGAAACCCTATACAGGGCTGCTCAGTCAGGAACTACTTGATGGCACTTAACACACACATATAAGACATGGAATCCTGGTGTGACACTGTAGGGTAAGCACTAGACTGCTAACTGCCAGGTCAGTGGTTCAGACTGACTAACCAGTCCTGGAAAACCCTGTTCAGGGTCAGATCTGACTCAGCAACCGTATACAGGGTTTCTGGGGAGCTTGAACTGCCAACCTTGCTTCAAACCGACCTTGCAGTCCTGCTCATTAACCCGCAGTGCCACACCACACTATATGCATGAATTAGTATATTATGTACATTATGTTGTTGTTAAGTGCAGTTGGGTCAATTCTGACTTACAGTGACCCTGTATAGCATTTTCAGGGAACACCTGGGTGGATTTGAACCAGCAACCTTGTGATTAACAGTCCACAACTGATCCTACAGTGCCACACCAGGACTCCATGTATAAACAAGTACAAAATAGATGAAGTATAAAGGATGAAATAAAGCACATGGAAATGGAAGTTCCACTGTTTTTTAATTTCTTTCCAGAATTTTCCTGCCTGCCTGCCCCATATTGGGGGTCACTGGTTTGGAATTCAGTCTTTCACATCAGCACCAACTGTGCATAAGCATACACTTGGAAAAGGTGATAATTTTTCACAGCTCTAGTCTGATTATAGCAGTTGTAATGCAGTGTAGAGCATGATAACAAATTTAGAATAGAAGCCATCTCTGCTTTTACATGGGATTCAAGCTGGGCATGTTCCATCTCTTAATTCAAGTGTGGGCTTGGAAGCCAAGGCTCTGTTTGATGCAGTCTTGGTTGGGTGAACTTCAAACAATTATCGGAATTTAGCTTCTCTTTAAATTAGTGTCTTTATATTTTTGAGACGTTATAATTTGCTTCTGTGAGCAGCTTGTGGTGAAACTTAGGTGGATTGGGTAAGGACCCTCAAGTGAAAGGCATCTGTAAGTACCAAGTAATAGCAAATCATTTCAGTAGTGCGATCCTGGAAGTGTAGCTCTGTATACAACACGATTTGTGGTTTGTGAAAAACTATTTTAAGCCAATGGAAACTGAAATTTTCTGTTGTAGCCAGTTTGGGCATACTTATTTTCACAGGTAATTTTTGTGTATTTTTTTTCCTCCTGATGGTGGTATTGAGTTGGCTGTGACTCATAGCACCCATATGTGTATGAGAATGAAACTGATGTATATCAGAACGAAAATGCCTGGTCCTAGGCTATCTGCAGTATCATCCGGATGTTGAAGTCCATTGTTCGGCTACTGTGGGAATCCAGCTCATTCAGGGTTCTGCTGTTTTCCTGTGACTCTACCAACTGTGTGTCCTTTTCCAGCAGTTAGTTTTACCTGGTAAATACTGCATATTCATCATAGAAAACTTGAAACCTATGGGAACATAAAAGAATAATAGCTTACTGTCTCACAGTAGAGGTCATGGTAGTTTACTCTATAGTGTACGTTTTTAAAAGCTCCCCCCACCCTTTATATAGTTAATGTCGCTTTTAGACATAATGGGGCCTAAACTGTATAAACAATTTCATTTCTTACTTTCTCTGCCAACACGAAATTGTTAGCACTTTCGTATCATAAGTTGTTAGGTGCCATTGAGTCGATCCTAACTCGTAGTGGTTCTGTCTGTCTGTTTATAACAAGATGAAACATTACCTGGTCCTGTGCCATCCTCACAATTGTTGCTTTGTTTGACCCCATTGTTGGAGCTGTTGTGTTCATCCAACTCTTAAGGGTCTCCCTCTTTCACTGACTCTCCATTTTACCAAGCATGATATCCATAGTCCGTATCTCCTGAGAACAGGTGTAAAGTACAGGAGAAATCTCACCAGCCTCACCTAAGAAGCACCTGACTGCACTTCTTGCAATACAGGTTGTACATTCTTTTGATATACCTTGATATATTCAGTATTTTTTGTCAACACTGTAATGCCAGTATCAATTCTTTGTTAGATGCTGTCAGGTCTGTTCCAACTCATAGCAACCCTGTATAGGGAGTTTCTTAGGGTCAGCTGATGGGTTTGAACCACCAGCCTTGCAGTTAGCAGTCCAGTGTTTATCCTGCAGTACCCCACCAGGCCCCATATTTAATGATTTTTCCATTGTTGGGCATTGAAGATGGGGAAGATTTGAAGCTGTCATGATTATCATTGCTGTGGATAGCCCTGTGCTTAAAGCTTTGTCCCTGTTTCTGGCAGTTTTTTCAGGATAAATCTTACATATGGATTGTTGTTGTTAGTTGCCATTGAGTTGGTACCCACTCATAGTGACCTGTGCACAACAGAACAAAACACTGCCCGGTCCTGGACCAACTTCACAATTGTTACTATGCCTGAGCTCAGTGCTGCTGCCACTGTGCTGGTCCATCTCGCTGGGGGTTTTCCTTTTATCTCCAACCTTCCACCTTACCAAACATGATACCCTTCTTCAGGGACTGGTCCCTCCTGACAATATGTCCAAAGTATGAGAGACGAAGTCTGGCCATACTGGCTTCCAAAGAGCACTCTGGCTG